ATTTGAAATGCGGTAGCGTCCATTTCTATAAGACCGAATCGCTGCCACATCCACTGGCTTGCGGACAGGCTTTTGAGCCAAAGGCTTTGATTGAGAACGCCAATCGTCCTCCTGTCTAGGTCTGGGCGCCCTGGCAGTTTCTCAGTCCTCGTCTAACCATGACTATTTCTTCAGACTTCAACTACATCCTGCACCGGCCTTCGCGTAGCTTCTCAAGAGTTGCCTCATCCGTTGCACAAAGCTGTGCGAATAAGCTTAAATCTGCTACTGCTGACGCCACCCTACTTTACTTTCCGCCCGCTTCTCTTATTCCCCTCCAGCTCCCCATTAATAACTTCCATTCTATAATTTCCAGCATAAATGACGACAGCCGCAATGCCACTGCAGTTCTACCATCTGCATCTATCTTCCCGCATCACCCACTGGATGCGAATCGCCACCAGCCCTGTACATGGCAGCATTCAACGTCCGTACTCTATGATAAATAGGTCAGTGTTCTCGTAGAAAGTAGAAGACACGATTAAACTTTGCACAATAATCTGCTCTTGCTCCGGTACCTCTTCATACTCACGTGATGCGGGCTGAGCCATGGGCAGTTAATTTAGGGGCTCCATCTGAAGCCGAAATCAAACGTCATCATTGTTCTCAATCAGTTTCGAACTGATTGTCAGCATCCCGTCGCACTTCGTCTATGTGATAATAGTGGTGAGGTCCTCTGCAAAACTCTGTTCGAACAGGTTCGAAAGGAAGAGGCTATTCCGGCTAACTGGTCATATGTACCATGTAAAAGAACAGCAATCGCACCGACTCTGCTATCCACCGGCATATAACGTCGATGGTGACAAAATTACTCGCCTCAATTCTCGTTCGTTGCCTTACTTCGTAACGGAATCCACTATTAGGGAAGAGTAATCAGGTTTCCGCCAAGCATCTGCTCTCATTTTACCCAGCTAAACGGTGAACATCCCTCATTCTTCATAATACCTGGGGCGTCTTACAAGAAGCACTCCTCTCCCCTCTTCAAACATCGATATATTTCCGATTCCTCTCAATTTTACCGGATGCAAATTCGCAGACGACATAGTTTTTGGCAACATTGCTTCAACTGATGAATCAACAGCGGCTCTCCGAAGCGGACTTGATGAGCTTCCTCGTCCAGATCTCTCCTCAATGCTGACAAACTTCCTGCTTCAATAAATCTCGTCCCATGAACGTGGATGACCACAACATATCCGATTCATCCGCTGTTAAGTCCAGTGGTATACTTTTATCCCATAATTATCATGTTCAACACACGTTTTTGATGCGAGACTTACAATACCTTCATCTCCCTGCTCTTTAACTTATAAATTCGTGATCTCCTGTGTCCTTCCTCACTAGCCATGTTGCTGACCTGTCATATTTTTCCTGATCTTCTACATAAAATCTTCACACTATTTGTGCGTTCCGTTAAGCTACACTTTAGATGTAGCGGATTACCCAGATAGTCTCTGATAGACTTCGTCCTTACTAGGCATTTTGATGCATGTGTCAATGTTTCGTTAAAACCTATGGATAGCCCTTACACCCTCTACACGCTGATTTATCAACAGCTCTCTCCTGTTCGTCTAAATTTAACTATTTTCTTTCACAACTTAACTCTGTCTTGCCTTATTTCTCCCGTTGTCTTGTTGACTGCTAACAAGTGTTAACATGTTCTCATTTAAGTAAGTACTATACATATATTTTTTCTTTTCACCTCTTGCTTGTAATTTTAAATCTATTTTATGCATCATTACCTCCACAGTGCAGGCGTAAAGTGCTGCAAATCTTCCTAGCCGAATGCACAAAGCCAGCTTCGACTTGATTCACCACCTGAATATCAGCGACGGACCCTAGTTGTGTTTCTCGACATCAAAAGTGCTTTCGATTCGATGCATCGTTGTACTCTTTAAAACTGTTTGACCAGGAAAGGAGTGCTTCAGAAATATTTAACTATCCTCAAAGCGCTTTTTGCGCTTATTTCTGGCAGGATGAGGACTTTTGACAAACGTGAATACCCGCTGTCACCTTTCGTTTTTTACCTTATTATTGACGAAGTTGGGAAATGCATGTACCCCACACAGCTTGGAAGTTATGAAGCTGCCTTCAGGCGGTCGAATTCTCGATTTGGACTATGCCGATGATATCACCCTAATCTGTTACAGCTTACAAACGTGTCAAGCAGCACCGGACAGCTTAGCACTGGTTTTCAGCCGTTTCGGGCTTTGCTTTGTATCCTATAAACGCAAGCTTTTCTACAAGATTAGCATGGACCACCCTCTTGGCGGCTATCAACTAGAAGTCGTTCAGAAATCCAGTTACGTGGGCAACCATCAGCGCATGTGGAATCGAAGATGAAGTGGCTAACCGTACAGCCTAAACTGCGCTTTCGTTCAATTTCACCACTTATAGAGCCTGCACGACAACACTCTGTCTGACGAGTCGAGTCTACTATGCAGATGTCCATCCAGCCCTACTTTACGGTTGTGAAACCTAGGCTCACTGCCCCATCATCAGTCGCGACTAATCAACTGAATTTAAGTAGAATCGCGTGCGTACGATGCCTCATTGATTTCCACTGGGATAGACCACCTACACCGGCACCATATCTATCCTAGGTCTTCGACTGAGCCATAGTAGAGACGCCTGTGTGTGCTAGGTAATCGATAGATCGTCACGGCACGTGGCTCCGTGGCAACACACTCCAACTCTAACCGTGTGCCGAATGAAAGTCCGAGTTCTCTGCTGACTGTTCAGAAATCATCATCATCACACTACACGTTAGCTGGAGGTGGGGAACACCTCAGCTACTGTGCCGCAATACATAGAAAAAAGGAGAGAGAAAAAAGCAACTGGTGCAAGCTGGCTGAGCTACCGGTAACGGATGGGCACCGTTCCGGTAAGCTACCAGCCGGCTACTATGCATCAAAAAAATTACTATGCAAAATTATATAAGGCTAAGTAATGAGATCGTGGTTGGAGGGGGAGGCTGAGAGGGATGGGGTGGGACAAAGAAACTCACAGCACGAACGCCACTGTGGTCGGCTCCTAGCCATATCGGCAAGTGTGTCCAACCAAACGTGTTCATCGTCTTTCGGACCCCAACCAGTGAGCCGAGACGCTCCAACCGAAGCCAGCTCAGAAGTGAGGGCCTTCATTCCTCTCGACCAAGTCATCGCTTGGCCACCCCTCCTCTTTTTCCATCCACACCCCCGGCGCGCAAACAACGCACGTCACGGAAGTCGGTGGGCTGGCATGCGTAACACGTGGCCGAGCCATCGGAGCCTGATGCGTGAAATAACGGTGCTGAGCGGTTCAGTTCCTTTTCCTGTACCATAAACAAGGCGTCGAACACGCTCATTGCTCACGCGGTGTTCCCACCAGATGTGAGCTAAATTACGAAGGCACCGGTGGTCGAACGTAACTAGCCTCTTCAGGTCCGCTGCTTTAAGTGTCCAGGTTTCACAACCGTACAATAGGGTCGAACGTACCGCTGCACTGTACACTCTACCCTTCAGGGCAAGAGTGATGTCGCGCCGGCGCCATAAGTGGCGAAGGTTAGCAAAAGCGCCCCGAGCTTTTGCTATACGATTCGTTATTTCATCTTTAATCCCACGGGCGCTGATACAACTTTCCAGGTAGTGGAAATTTTGAACGACTTCTAGCTGATCCCCACCAAGGGTCAGCGAAGGAGGCGGTCCAGACCAATCTTGGAAGAAACCTTTGCACTTCGAGGGTGCGAAGCAAAGCCCGAAGTGACTGACAGCCAGTGCTAATCTGTTCAGTGCCGCTTGGCACGTTTGTGAGCTGTCACAGATTAGGGCAATATCATCAGCATACTCTAAGTTACGAAGTCGTTCTCCTGGGAGTAGCTCCACACCTTCTAAGTCGTGTCCTGTGAACGCGATTTCCATGAATTCGTCAACAGCGAAGTTGAGTAGGAAAGGTGACAGCGGGCATCCTTGTCTCACACCGCTGGAGATATTAAAGGGCGACGACAACTTGCCGTAAGCCCTCGTTCTGCCCGTGCTACGCGCATATAATGCTCGGATAATATTCACATATTTCTCAGGTACACCTTTCCTGAGTAGACAGTCCCAAAGTGCATGTCTATCCGCCGAGTCGAATGCACCTTTGATATCGAGGAACACGACAAGGGTGGGCCGCCAATATATGTGACGGTGCTCCAACAACTGACGCAAGGTACGGTTCAGATATGGAATGCAAACGTTAACAGGTAAACGCGATATTGTGTTCTCACTCAGGAGAGCACTGAAATTTTACCGTCAGCGTATGCTAAAGCTTCAGTGCAATGTCATTTTGTTACTTGTCCTTGAGAGTAACTATTTCCACTGAGTAGGAACTAGACGAAGATGCTTTCACATTTGTGATGGTGTTCCGCATGCACAGGGTAGTCCTCTGCCACACTTTCCTTCATAAGGCCATAATGAATTCGTGCACTGATCTCTTCTCTCGTTTATCCTTTATTTTGGCCGACTCATTGTTTGTCGCCTTTGTGTCCACTCAAAGCATACTAGTGAACTAATTTCGTTATAACCTACTCTTTCGTTATCTCATAGCCGCACGTTGTATACAAACTATCCGCATCTTTTCTACCTTACGAAAGTATTAAGTACAAATCCATCAACACGGCAGAAAAGCATTAGCGGTACGCCGGTGCGCGTTTTGGACGCTTCGCTGTCTCGCAACCACCACCAGTCGCACGTAGGCTAAGGATACTACGAGGGTCGCTAGGTCTCTACGCAGTCTTGAACCAGCGCCATCGGGTTAAAGGCAGGCTTTTGATCCTTAGGGCTAGTGGCCGGCCATCGAAACGGTGTTTCTAACGATGCGTTCTTGTTTGCGTGCGCTTAGCTATCGTCCAGTCGCATATGGCCATCTTGTGATCATCATGTCCACTGGTTATTTTGTCTTTCTACCTATTGCTATCTATTGTTTCATCCCGCTTATGTTTCCAGATTCTGCGAGCAATGTTCACGATATTCTTTTGTGACAAACCATCACTGCTCGTTGTGCAATCGTTGTCCCACCAGAGTAAGTTACTTGCTGCGGTGTTGATCCAGAGATTTGGCGCGTGTACGTCTTTCCGTTTGTAGTTTAATGTCCTGCGATACAGTCTTTGTAAACCGACCCAACACTGTGTTCGCCGTATTTTAGAACCACACAATCATCCCATTCGACTTAGTGGAATTATTTAAATTCGGTGTCTATATTTCTTAGAGAATGGTATGTCTTTCTGTGATTTTTAAAGAATGTTCCTCCCAACCGTCCTTAATCAAGCACGAACCACGCATTGGGGAAAACGCACCTTCTCGCAGCCAGGTCATGGCGATCTTACGCCGCGATCTATAGCTCAGTGACTTGGTTCGTGAGAGTAAGGTCATTAGTTCGGACCCAGCAGGATACAACCGATGCGCATAACCGACTGGTTCCAATGGAATGAAACGACCGTCGGGCGCCTTTACGGATGTGTGATGACTGTCTGCGGCTGGATATTTGTCGACCTGCCGAGAGACCGTCCTCTTATTATGGTTTTGCAGTACAGTTGGGAATATTCTCCCGTGGCTTCTATCAGGCTACCACATTCTTTTATGTTCTTCATCTGGGATCACATAGATCGCTTGTAATTCCGTAGTGCATGACTTTCGCGTTTGAACAGTCGAGGAACTCTGTACGCTTGTGGCATATATTATTGACCACGGTGATCCTTCTTCAGCTGCACAAATCGCGACATTTCGTGTTGAAGCTGCAATCGATCTGGGTGCAATTTCGACACACTCATTGACCGAGAACAGCAACATTGGAATAACTTTTGCATGGTCCCTAGAAGAGATTACATTAGTGGCGATAAAAGCTTACAACGAATCAGTATAGTTCGACGTTTAAGCGACTTTAACCCGCTTCCTTGCTTGGTAAACTTGTGACATGTGTGTACACGCCCAACATTATGGCTATTTTCAATACCCCGTCATTTGAACGATTATTTGATAAAACTCGTAATGCAGTGGTTAATGTTCTTCTTCTCCGCCGGTGGCACGCCTGGTTTGCAATCATAATGTTACCGGTTCGAATCCGGGTAGGGGCAGGCGTCCTCGCGGTATACTTAGCCGGCGCGCGACTGGTGGGGGTCGCGCGGCAGCGTAGCGCCGTTACGGCGTTCACCTGGCATATTGTTTTTGTATTCTCTACTTGAGCAGCTAGTTGTTGAATATACGATTTATTTATCGACTAATCTACAATGATTTTGATAGCTATCCTCTGATGCACTAGGGTCCAGTGATAGTGTCCTTTCTCAACTACAGAACTGGAGTACTTGGACTGGATGAACATGCGCACTTCTTGGCACAAGTTTAACATGCTTAAACAATAGGTTGTGCACCGCTTATGATATCATCATCATCATCATCATCATCAACAGCTGTACATCAGCCATTTGAACTGATGCTTCGCTGCCATACAACCATGACGACCTATGAAATAACGAATAAGAAGAGGGAGAGAAGGGGGACTTACCTGAAAACCTTAATGCCCTAAGCAAACATCCCGGGTCAAGGCGCCTACACCTTGTGTTAACAACATACCGTCACAAACAGCTGGCTATCGTGCAAAGATAAGGCGACATCGGCGAGACAGCTTCCTTGCGGCTTTCACTGCCACGCGTCATAATCAGCCATTACCCCGCAGATAACTCAGCACCAAACACACTTTAAGCAGGCAATCCAATTAGGAGACGGCAGCAGACGCGCCACTGGTGTCTACTGCGAGCCGTATCCTGTAAAGTCTCGAGCCAAGCACAAAGCGAGTCACTTGGACTCCAGCCCGGAAGGAGAGACGGACCAACGGCACCCAGTTTGGTCGTCAGTGACTTCATTTCCCTTTGCCAAGTCAACTTCTGTCCACCTCGAGCCTTGCGCCACCCTACACCTGGCAGACTAAACAAGGCCGTCCTAGGGAAACGGTGACCAGGCATACGTAGCACGTGCCCGAGCCAACGCAACTTATTCAGTGCTATCTGTTGTTCTAGGGAGCTAGCATGATTAGCACTACCTAGTACTCGCCTACGCACATCATCGTTGGGGATACGCTGGTGTCATCCGACACCAGTAATGCTTCGCAAACAACGATGATCAAAGACTTGAAGGCGCCTCAGATCTTCAGACCGAAGGGGCCAAGTTTCACCACCATAGAGCAGAACGGCCCTCTCTATGGCCTTGTATACACGGCCTTTCAAACGGAGGGAAACTCCCTTCTGTCGCCAAAGATGCCGCAGGTTCAAGAAGGCAGCTCTGGCCTTTGCGATGCGTGAGCTGACGTCAGTTTCTATGCGCTCATCGTTGCTGATGCAGCTGCCAAGAGTTCCTCTTTAGCAAGCGTCAATGAGGCATCAAGAGGCTGGTGGTCCTGCAGCAACACTTTGCACTTTGAAGGTGCGAAGTGCATACCAAATAATGGGACCACTTTGCACAGGCTATTCAGGGTTGATTGTGCCGCCGCAACATTGTCGAAAAGCAAGACGATATCGTCCGCATAATCTAGGTCAACTAACCTTTCACCAGGAAGCACCTCAACGCCCACGTCGTGAGATTCCGCAAGGGAACACTCCATGATAGAATCCACGACGAAATTGAGCAAAAATGGGGAAATCGGACAACCCTGACGAACGCCACTTGTAGTCGGAATGCTATCCGATAGGACACCATAGACCCTGACGCGGCCTGTAGTGTTCGAGTATAGAGCACGAAGGATGTTCACATATTTCGTGGGAACACCTTTCCGCGCAAGTATTTTGAATAGAATCGATGGATCGACTGAATCGAACGCACTCTTGAAATCGAGGAACACAGCTATTGTCGGTCTGTGGTATGCGTGGCGCTGCTCTAGCACCTGCCGCAAAGTGAATATATGGTCTATACAGCCACGCCCTGGGCGGAAACCTGCCTGCCCTTCCCTAATCCGCGATTCCCGTTCCGCAGTGAGGCGACGAACGAGAATCGAGGCCAATAATTTGTTCACAACTGGCGTTAGGCTAATACCCCTGTGGTTAGAACAGTTTGTGCGACTGCCCTTCTTGTATATTGCCACTATAATCGATTCGCTCCAATTAGCCGGCACATTCTCTTCGTTCCCGATATATTCGACTAGGGAGGTCAGTGCTTTGCAGAGGACCTCACCTCCATCCTTAAATAGTGCAGGTGGGAGGGAATCCGGGTCAGCGGCACGAAAACGATTAAGGGCTGTGATGGCGTTTCGAAGGTCGGCCTCCGACGGAGGCTCTAAACTAACCGTCCATGGCTCGTCCTGCATCACCTGAGTAGGAAGAGGTCCGGGAGCAGGGGGCCAGCTGAACTGATCTTGAAAGTGTTCAGCCCAACGAGCCATACGGCGCTCTTATTGTGTATCAGCGCACCCGCGCCGTCTCCGATTGTCTCACTGACGCCTGGTTTTCTGGGACCAATGATGCGGATCAGCTGGAAGAGCTTGCGGTAATTGGTGTCCGGCCGCCGGATACTCTACCGGTTCATCCGTTTCAAGACACGTTGGGTGTGCTACTAGGCATCTAGGCAAGATATTTAAGAAACACCTCTCAAATCTGCTTTAATATCAGATAAATATAACCCAGTTAGTAGCGATAACCGGTCCGGTATTCCATCTGGTCCACACATTATTGGACAAAACGTCTTCGGCAGCTGATGTTGACGGCCGAACACCACTCCATTGGAGCATCTGCGCGGTATCCAGTCAAACTGGAGCACACCAGCACTGTCCTTGCTTTCTTTCATCTGCACATCTTATCGTTCGACTTCTATGTTTTTCTTTTCTCCTATTTTCTCCCGTAGCATGGGGACACGTACTCTCATTGCCACCGTTGTGGCCGGTGCCGCCCTCCGAATCGCGTTCACTGTCTCCATTGTGACCGATGCGTGTTGCTTGGCTCATGCGCTCACAAAAGGAAATCATCTCGTGTGCTTTCTTCCCATACTCCCTCCAAATAAATCTGTTGGCCAGTCTTTTTTTGTTCGCATTAAACGATGGACCCTGATTGTTTCGAGTTCCGTATCCCTCTACGACTGCCGATAGCTTCATAACTGCGTGTTCTCTCTGTTACGCAGGTGAATGCTTGTCAACTTTTTTATAGTACAAAAGTCTGTAGGTTACCTTCCCTTAAAACCCAATATGCTGCTACCTGAGCGTTGCACTCTTCGTTCATTCTGATGCTCGCAATTCATTCTCTGTTCCTCCGAACATTGCCTCTAGTCTTCTGGCAATCACGATTTCCGAGTCAGAACAATGGAGCAATGGTATAATGCGAGTTAGAAAAGTGAAGGCCTAACAGGTCTCGTGGGATGGTTAGTGTGAATTACAACGAAAATGAGGGTACAGTGAAACGCGCATTTGTGAACACGCCATATTGTCCACGCTAACATGCATGTATATCGTTTACCGAGATTTCGTCGGTGGGGGGGGGTCATGAGCACAATGTTTGTCTACATCTTGTCGTCACTCAGTAAACAGAATTCAACTTAAGTAATACAGATAGTGTAATGCGTCGGTAAGTCGTTTTTAGGAATTGGGTGGCGTGGACATATAAATGACAAACTTCGAAAGAGCGTTCCACGACTGACGCATTCGATGGGAAGAATAATTCCGTTGGCATTCCAGCCGACTGTGTTGGGTGGCCAGTTTCAGCTTGTAACCCCTCAGTTTCGCGTTGCGATTAACTTTCAAGTGGCGGCAAGCGTGATCGATACGCCAGAATGAGGTCGCCCCGCAGACGGCGATACCTTCCACTGTACACCCCCAGGACTCTGACTCGCAGATGGTATGACAGGTGGAACAAGCCCTTCGCATTTTTGGTCGTTTTCGCTGTGGGGTCTGGTGTAACCAGATCACGTTCAATCAGGCTTGATTCGCGTAATCTACATGGGGCCTCACATATTCGTTAAGTATTTGCCGGAAAATGAGGGGTCGAACACCATTCGTAAGAGACCGACATGTTGATTCGCGGTTTTGCTTGCCCTCAAGGATTGCTCCGAACATCCGAGGCTGTCCTTTATCACCATCCCAAGGTCGTGCTTTATGAGGCGGTCTTCACTAGTTGCACTACTGATTATATGGTAGTAGTCCAACACTTTAGCCAATTAGTTACGGCTTCAATTCAGAAGGCGTGGTTGTCCATCTAGCTCAACATGCACATGCCTTATTTGCTACAACTAACCCCACTGATCGTTGCAATGATTTACTCGCGTAAGAATCTTTAGTGCTTTGGGCTCATTATTTCGCATTGTTCCCACAACTTCTACCAACCTTCTTAGGGTCCTGGTTGTGTACATCAGCAACCGTCACTTTAGCGCAGATTTTGTGCCAAGGGATTTACGCTCGGATTCGATGGAAATAATTGCATCTCGCTATGTTGGTTTTTCCCCTGGAGTAGCTTGTTCTATTTCGCATGCTGTTTAGATCGTGTGTTTTTTTCTGACACCACACGGTGTACCGAGCGCGTTTTTCCTCTTTCCAGACTCTTCTTTACTCGTCTGCTTCTTCTCGTTTTGGGATTATTATTTCTGTCTTTTCGCTGTCTTCGATTCGTGTTTGCGCATTTTTCAATAGTTTCGTCTTTTCTGCAGCACCCTTCTCATTGTTATCATTCATCACCTCTTGGGTGAATTGTAAACAGTTTTCTCGAAACATGACGCGTTCCCCTTCCCCATTTTCTGTCAATTCCTAAGTTCTTGGATTGTTTTGTTCCCCATTTAACCGCAGGTTCTCCGACACAATAACGCCCCTGCTTCACTTATTGGTCTTGCATTTTTTTGAGCAGCCTAATTTTCACGCCTACTTCATGCGCCCACGAGAAACTACGTACAAATGATCGTTTCACCTAAGGGAACGTATGCCGCCCGTCGGGAAATACACCTTATTTATTTGACTTCATTATTATCGGCAATTGGGTCGTCTAACAGCTTCCGTATCGGCTGATCACACCGACACGTGGTAGTGTCTCCAGCGCTCTGCTAATCTGTTCTTGACAGTCCGTTCAAATATGGAAAAGCAGTTTGCTTGCAGCTTGGTACAGCAATTCTAATAGATGTACCATTTAAAATCATCGCCACTCAAAATTTTCAGCTATTTACGTAACAGCGTCTTAGGAGTATCTGAATTCGTTTTGAACTTATCTTCACAAGGGGCACTACGTCACCTTTATCTAGTTGGCCTAATGCTAAGTTCGGCACTGATTTTCTTATTCAGATCCAATATTATACGAGGCGCTGATAACTTCCTGGCTTTTACCAGAAAGAAGTGGGCTAATGTCATGAAATGACACATTTATTCAACATATTTTCGCCTAAGACTGATGCACTTGGTACATCTTATTTGCAACTTTTTAGACCGGCCAGGTAAAATTCATTTGGTTATGCCTGAAACCAGCTGTCAGAAGCATGTTTGACGTCAGACCAGGTTAGTAAGGGGTTGTAAACCTATCGGAAACCCAGTGTGTTCAATTTGGTAGCCACAACATTGGACATGTGTGCAGGTGCATTTTCCTGCTAGATAAGGATAACTTGCGTCAGCTTTCCACGACGTTTCTTCGTGCTTGCCTCTCTCAACTGATCCAGGAGGTTAGCATAATAGTGTCCAGTGATACTGGAAGGTAACCCACAAGTAGCACGCTGTCTTTGTCCCAGAAATCGGTCGCCATGACTTTTTGTGTGTGAAACTTCTTTGGCCTCGGGGACCCACCGTAGCGTCATTCCCTGACTGTTTCTTGGTCTCAGAATCACGTACAAAAGCTAAATTTCAACCTCAGTCATTAACCTAGTCAGGAAATCATGTGCAGCTTCGAAATGCGCCAAACTGCTTTCGCATGATTCAACTCGTCCCTGTTTTTCTAAACACAGGTCAAACGTTTCGGTGTGCACTTTGTTGATAGCCTACGCATGTCCAGGATTTTAAAGAACCAAACACGCTCCCGTGAGATGTCCAGTATCTTGGCAATCTCTTCAGCGCATATTCGCCGGCCCTCCTTGATCCCTTTGTGGACAGCATCGCAGTTTGCTGAATCAGCTGAGCTTTATGGACGCCCACTGCGTAACTTATCCTAATTGTTTAAATGACCAGTCTTAAAACGAGATATCCCGGTTTTGCCAGTGCTATAAAAACGACATTTTCCCCAGTATGTGTAATATCTTCGCGAACATTTTATAGAAAAACAAAATTTTCATGATAGTCCGTGACTCAAACTATGTGAAATATGCTTCTGCCCTTGCCATCACAGCTTCTACCTATAATAAACAATTTTCACTAACACTAATGTGTTAGTGTCACATTTGAAACTACTGTCTTTTCTTATATTTGAACGGGAGCAAAATCAGCTACTTATCAATATCCAATCGTACTTCTGAGTAATGCATCATCACCTTTAGATTTGATTACCCATTCACAGCTAGTCTTAGTGTAATCCATCTTCTCGACGTAGATTAAGCTATTCCAAATTGTCATACGATCTTCTTTGGTATGCCCTGAGATCGATCCACCTAGACTTGAATACTTGTTTCTGGCAGCTCTGTCCAAGGGTGCAAGAAAGCACAAGCGAAGAGCAGCGTTTTTGCAGACAGGAACGAACCGGAATGACTCAGTTAGCATTGGGCGAACAGTATGCGACCTTGACGACACGTTGTGCGCTGGCGGCAGGCTTATTGGATGATCGGGACGGATATGCTGCTCACGCGAATTGGTCAGGACTTCACTGGTCAGACAAATAATGCAGTATCGATGCGACTTATCAGGAGCCAAACGTCACTTGATTCCGGAGAGGGCAAGTTTAGGCTGAGTCAATCACAGGAGATGAACTACGGGTGCGGATTACTCGACATAGCAGACCGCACAAAAGGCTTCAGCGAATAACAGCCGATAGAAACCTGCCACAGTAAAATAATACTTCCAATTTACATACACTATGTGTACTCTATTAGTTCATATATGACATTTAATTTTCACCCTCGGTTGGTTGCACTGCAATTTGTGCTCCTAATTACTTCTATTATGCTGCCACTCGCTTTGTTATCCGGGTCTTTAGACACCTTTTGCCTTTAAATGATACACTATGATCAACAACCTGTTTGGATTCCGTTGATGACCATGTCCAGTTACTAACAAGTTACTGCTATTCTTGCTAACCGCACGTTTACGCTTCATAAACTTGATTCTCCTCAAGTATTATCTGCGGAGTATAGTCGAGAAATAAACCCCTGCGACGACATTCTCATAGATTCACCAACCTGCTCACATCCCCGACACTTACTGGCCCATCGTGCAGTTACTTGTTCTGCCGCGATCCAATCATCAGATCGAGATTCATTGGCACTGAAGCTGTTCTCGCTTTTGGTACGAACACCGACTTCCAATTATCTTTTTTTTCTCTTCTTTTGGCAAGGCATTCAGGCTAGATCTGCTTCTATCAGCTTCTTTTACGCATGCCAGACGATAGTATACTATACCGGATTGCTGTTGATCCGGTCATTAACATAATTTCCCTTCGGATTGGGTTTACTTGGACGCTAAGCGCCTGGTTCGACTTGTACTATGTTGCTTCGCATTCCTAGTTGCGGGTTCCAGTTTCATGTTGCGCTGTACCGGAAGATTTTGTCGTGCTTTTGCACTTCCAGCTGACATCTCTTCCTTGAACTTTATTCTGTAACTTCATTTACATGACGAACGAGTTCGTCTCTCAACTATGGCAACTTCGTGCCTTAACGTTAATTCAACAATTCTAGTTCCTTTCTTACCTCTGTGATTTCCTTTTGGTACCGGACAAGCAGGACGCTTAGCTGGTCTTCACGAATGTCTATCATCTATGAGAAATCGGGGCATATCCACTGCTCGAGAGATATTTGCTTATTTGCCCACTAATGTACCTGGATATGCTGTCACAATTTTCAGATTAACCGCTTATTCTGATACTCCCGTGATTGATCAGATGTATCAGATGAACTCTTTCTCTCTCTCTCTCTCTCGTTCCTTGAAGGCGTATCGACCTGGGCGTTCTAACCAGCGGCGTACTCATCTGCGCGCTAAATGTGTCGATTGCAGTGAAGCGGACATTGTATGGATGTGCTGTCTTCTGTTCGCTGAGCTGGATATCCTCGTAACCTAGTGTTATTCTAATATGCTCATATTTTTTCTTTCATGAGGTGAAACTGCTCATAGTATTTATTCTCCTTTTAAACTACAGACCTCACCAACCAAACGGCAGTTCTTGTATTACCTTTTCGTTGATTTCAAAGAATGTGTACAAAATTGAAGTACACTCTTTACGCTGATAGATTATCGCGTGAGAAACAAGATTCCCCGTGCACATCCAGGCATCTAGTCTTCACCCTGCTGTCGTGTCGTTGATTAGCGCCAGTGCATTTGCGACAAATCCACCAATCTTATCGAGCATTCCATTGTCGTTAACTGTACTCATTTCCATTTTCTTCCCTTTCAGTTTTAACCGACTGTCGGCCCATTATGGTGCCGTCGAAGAATGCGCTCGCTTTTTCGTTTCATTGCAGTGGCCTCGGCTCTTTCACTCCTATCTTTTCTACTCACTTACCGTCAACTTCAACGGAACGTGACGTATGTGCTCCCGCTATTTGCCCCACCCCGCCTGCCATCTAAAGCCATTGTCAATTGCACCCATGCTACATGTTTCAACGCCTCGCTGTGTGCTCGTGAACATCGCGACCGACCACTCAATCGTATCTCTGTGTTCGTTTATCATCCCACTGTTCATGTGTACGATTCTGGCCAGCACATCAATTTGGAAACCAGTAATGAACAGTTTGAGCTACTTAGTACCATACGTGCGAGCCGATACGCTACCGACAATCCTTTCGAGGCTTGTGTTTTCGTACCAAGTGTGGATCTTTTGAATGGATTTGATTCTTACGCCAATCTCAGTTTGCGCATACTGACTGCGCTTCCTTGGTGAGTTCTATGGTTGCTAATTTGATGCCTGCTTTCAGGTGGAATAATGGCGCAAATCATCTCATTTTTAGCATATTGCCAGGCCGACGGCACCAATTTTCTGGCTTGGCCATCAGTGCTAGCGCTGCACACTTTATGCCCGCGTATAGACCAACGTTTGACATATCGATTCCCGCGTTCAACCCAATGCGCGGTGTGGACTACGATGCCCCCGTTCCACAGTGAGCCCCTCCCCTTACCCCCAATCTCACACTGTAAACGCGTTTTTAGTGCACGCCACTTGCTCACTATTTTGCCCACATACTCCCAAGCGGATCTGCCAGGTCTAAAGCTCCTTCTGTCATCGTATCGCGAATCTTCTTTCTGTCAAAATGTGTCCGTTTTGATGTTCGATCGGCCAGATACCGATCGGCCATTGAGCTCCTACGATGACTTTCGGAGTGCCTTCTTGTCTACCACTCCGTACAAACAAGCCATACGAACTACCACTCCTTACATCAAGGCTTTGTCGGAAAGTCTGTTTTGTGCAATTATTCGTATCAGTGCGGTTGGCCAGATAGCTGTGTTTGACGCTATGTCTACCGGATGCATTCCGATTATCGCGGATGATCGATATGTATTACCATTTTCCGAAGTGCTGGATTGGTCCAAGTGAGTACTTACTTTGTGTTTGATGACTTTTGCCGCTTTCTCTTCTCCCGATCACTGTTACACCGTTTCTGTTTTGTGATTTAGTTCAGTCAGTCTCATTGTCCTTGTTTGTTGCTCTAAGCTCATCTGTGATAGTCGAATAATCACCGTTGCACCTACCCGCGTTTTGTGTGGTTCTTTAACGGCCAACTTCAATACCTGCACCAGCGCAGTGCCGTCAGTAATGTTGGCCCCCAAACTATGGCTGTTCACTCACGGTTGCTTGAAACATCATTCACATCTGGCGAAACAAGACGGACAGCTTTACGGCGACTTCGCTCTCATCTTATAGGCTAACAACCAGTTGATGAATACACGGATATGTTACTTGTTAACACTACAACTAGACGCTGTGATACAGCCACCAATACAGTCGGACTAGCAATACTGGGCCGTTTCATCTTTTTGTGCATCGTCATCAGGGTGCATTCCATGTGTCCCCTGTGGAACTAAAGCCCGCAACCCTGCTCTTGCGTTTCTGTGATTATGATCATGAGGACGGTAATTACCGGCATCGATATACATCCCAATTAAGCGCAGGTCACCGCACTGGGAAACAACTCGTAATTCTATACGTTTACACATGATAAATTAACTTTTACAAACTTCGTTCCGGCCTTGCTAGCAATAGATAATGCTATCAGTTTCTGAGTAGGTTTTTAGCGCTGTCGTCTAATTAGTCCTTGGACTCGTTGACTCGTGCGCTAGATGGTCTCTTTTGTTGACGGAACGATTCGTAATGAGCCACACATTGAGAAGTACAGAGAGTTGTGTTTTTGAACCGGGAATTATGTGGACGAATGAAGCCCTCTCGTGACATTAGGAAGTTTGTTTCATCGTATGGAGAATTTGTCAGACAAGTAATCAATGCTTAGCTTTCTGTGTGTCCTTTCCACAAACAGGTCGCGTTTATCACTCTATACTATGGCGAGATTTCACTTTTTTCGGTGCAGAAGGTCAATATTGTGGTTATTCCCTTGGAACAACAATATTGCAGAGTAAAATAAACTTCTTTTTCATCCGCCCAAAGACCAGATGTACTGCTTTATGTTTGGTCTAACACTGGGGGGTAACCGAGCTGTATAGAGAAAACAGATCTGCGGTAAACGGGTGTTTTACACCCTTTCTTTTGCTATATTCCCAACCGGTTACTTCACAACATTGAGGCGCTACTCTCGTGCACACTTCCTCCATCAACCTCAATCGTTTCCGTTTCGGTACAAGCTGTAGTGCCCTGCTTGTTTGGTTTCCCCAAAGCTACACACGTACATCAAGCTATAAAGGTCGTTAAGTACCAGGAACGAGCATCGTAGTAGACACAGCTCTTATATAAACCTAGTAATTGCATCGGTATCGAGATCAAATGACTGCTCAGTAAGTGCAACAACTAATCGGCCTGTACCTGGAGGAAAGCTTTGTAATGTGGTCGGTTTAACGCGTCCATGCTGCTCTGTCAGGTAACTCATACTTAAGGCGGTAACACCTTGTATGCCATCAACCGAATGTGTATTGCCTCCTGATCAGTTTGCTCCCCATACTTCATTGGACACTGCTTTCGCTGTTCACGTGGACAAGGTTTTCCATTTGTCGTTTTCCTTTGTGAATTATCACGGTAGCCTCCCAACTGGTCAAATCGTACTCTGTTCGAATTCGTCGGTTCATAAATTTGTCCATCGACACGCCCCACCATCTTTCCATTCTGAATCGTATCCTCACTGTATCTTCACTTTCGTTTTTATTTCCTACCCCCCCCCCCAGATTTAGTGTCCGAGTACGGGCCACGGAACTACACTCGATTCCATCCTTGCTAGCGTCCTTCGGCGCGGACGATGTTGCTCGCTTTCAAAGGCAACTCCAGTTCGTTTTCCTTCGATACTTCTCCAGCATGAGCAAGATAGCCATGACCACTTTGGACATCATCAACGATCGCGTCTTTCCATATTACTCCCGTTCGTACGCAGAGTGGAACAATCCAGACTATCGCCAGGTGAGTCGCGTAACGTTCATGCACATGCATGTGGGCCTGTTATTTTTGTTTGACCACGTTGTTATGTTTATCTGATTGCTTACTGTTTATTCCCACAGGTTCCGTCAGATTTGACTGTCATTACCACACAATTTCTTATGAGGTACACATTCGTTGCCGCTTAATACTTCACACCCTCATGTGCAGTCTATTTAGCCACAGTGACTGATCTCAACCTACGAACCCTGATTATACAAAACATTTGAAATACTATCAACATGAGTACATGTTGCGGCTGGAGGAGTAGGCGAGAAGCTTCACGTTGTTAGTTAGATTGTTCAGGAATCCGGAGGAAGAGACATGATATATTGACACCACCAGCTCCGTGGCTTTGCCACATTCAACATGGTTACTTTTCACTTCTTTGGCCGGTTCGTGGACCCTTATTCAGGAGAACACTAAACCCACTTGTCCTTCGGCCAATCGCCCCATGCTCATTGAGCTTATAATCCTCTCACTGGTCACCTCGAGGTTTCAATCAATTAGATGTAGTACGTGTTGATACTACCGACCCCCATGTGTGTCAATGCCAGTGGCTGATGCAGTGAGGTGCCAAAGGGTTTGTTATTGCATGCTCTGCTTTAAGTAGTAATCAACAGAGATCGGCGTCTTGATGTCTTCAGTGCGCCGTGATCTCATACATCGAACCTTCCACATTTATGCCGGTGGAATTTCAAACCTTTAAACCTTACCCCTGATCAGTTGTCTGACAGTTCACAGTCCGCATGATGAATGTGGGACTCCAAAAAGCCGCACGGTCTTCCTCGAGCCATGAAGTTGATGTGATGACAACCCATAATTGCTGCAAATCCCTAGATTGGTGAATCGTGTGAGACCACATTCAATGGTTCCTTAAGCGTCGCGAAGAGCGATAACGCGCTGCTTCATTCTTGCAATTGTGCTTAACAAATTGTATGTGTCGCTGTGCTTCAGTTCACCACTACTCCGCATCAATGCACAGAACACGTGTGCTGTGTAATTAAGCCGTTCGTTCATCTGCAATGACTTGCACTCCAACACATTTTAGGTACGCACCACGATGGCAAAGTCGGTGATGAATCACGACTTTGGATAGTTCTACTAAACCCAACTTGTCGTGTTGGCTCCAGGGAAAAGCCTCCTCCACTTGGCCTCTGTTCGAGCTCAGTGCTTTTCAAAAAGAAGGTATTTCGTTATCAATACCAGTGGCATCAGAGCAACTTTTATGCCACTCCAGACTTCCCGGATTCACTGCATATAAATATGCTGTCGCCGACCGGGTAACGACCCGTGTGATGCTGACGAACTGATTTCATCAGGTGATAGGCTGGCATGCACGTGCGGTGTCAGAGAATAGCGGTTTGGATGCATGGGCTGTTTGCTCTGGGACTTCTGCGTTACTCACGTGATGCTGCCACCACACGCGAACAATCCTACGTAGACAACGATTGTCGAAAACCGACCATCGTTTTTACGTCTTCCGAAGGAGGGCCAGGTCCCACAGCCGTACAAGAGGATCGCGCTGACAGAGGCCATGAATACTCCACCGTTGAGTTTGAGACTGATGTCGCTACAGCGCCATAAGTGTCTCGGTCTGCTGAATGCAAGGCTGGTCTTTGCGATCCGTTGTGAGACCTCATCTCCAATATAGCCGCCAGCTGTGATGCAGCTTTCTAGATAAGTGAAGCAGTTGACTTGTTCTAGGGCATCACCAACAATGTTGAGGACAGACACGAGCATCTGCCAATCTTGGAGTAGTATCTTACACTTACCTGGCGTGAGACACAGGTCATACTTAGAGGTTTCCATCGCTAAGCGGTTCAGAACGCTCTGGACGGCCTGTGGATTGTCCCCAAGCAAGTGATATCATCGACGTAGTTCAAGTCCGCGACTCTGTCACCTGGGAGAAGCTCAGTGCCGCAGTTTTGAGGGCCTTCCAATGCTCGTTATACGACATGTTCAATGGCAAAAGTGAAGAGGAAAGGTGAGATGGAGCAACCTTGTTTCACGCCGCTGATGACGGCAAACGAAGTGGAAAGCGTGCCGTAAGGCCTGACATTGCCTGACTTGTGACTATAGAGATCCTTCAGGATGGTTACAAACTCCTTAGGTACACCTTACCTTAGTAGACAGTTCCACAACTCAGATCTGTCTACTGAGTCAGTAGCCTCTCGGATGTCCAAGGACACTACGATTGTTGACTATCGATGGACGTGACGGAGTTCAAGTAGTTGGCGAAGTATGAAGATGTGATCAATGCTATCTTGACCTGGACGGAAACTCTCTTGTTCCTCTTGATAAACGCCTTCTCTAATCGCTGAGAGCCTGCGGTGTAGAACAGACGAAAATATTGGTAGCAGCAGAGATCAAGGAAATTCTGCAGTAATTGGCTCAATCTCCGCAGGAGCCCTTCTGGTGAATCCGGACAATGGCCGATTCTCCCCATGCAACTGGGACTTTCTCATCAGTCCAACTTCTCGTGAAGAGTGATAGCATTTCATTGACAAGTGCATTCCCGCCATCTTTTAATGGAGCCGGAGATAGGCTGTCAGGACCGGGAGCTTTGCGACGCTTCAAAGATTGGATTGGGCTTCGGATCTCTCTTTTGGTAGTAGCATGTGAGGCGATAGGCCAAGCACCATCCGAGCGAAACGGAGGTGTCACAGGGTAGATGTTACTCCCCGGCTGCTCATTCCGAGAGATGGATATTGTTCCAGGTGCCCTGCCTCTAGCGTTTGACTCAATAGTCTGACCGACAAGTCAGTTATATGGCGGTTCGCTTAGGGACTCCGCCTAGAGTGTTTGGCTGAATAGCCTGACTCACAAGGCAGTGGAGAGCGGATCCATCTCGGGAATGTCATTACAGTGACCCAATTGCATCTGCTTGAGGCCCATGGCTAGATTTAAGCTGAAGAATGCCGCCGTCCTCTCATAAACTCCGGAGGAGGATTGTGAGACCGATTTAGTCAAACTCTTAAACAATGACCTCTTTCCTATGAGAGCCTCTGACGTCACTTGGAAAATGCCACTCATCGTAGCTCAGTGCACCACAGAAGTGCACAAACCATCGCATCACCTTAAAGTCCAGTCTCGTCGCGATGTGTTGGGTAAATCCACGAGGTGGTCAGCCGTGAACATGTATCCTGGTTTGAAGAAACGGACGAAAAAGCTTAGTCAAGCTGATGCTTGCCATCTTCATGAATGGGGGGGGGGCGTCGGCATGACTCACACCATTGGTTGAAGACCCTATCACTGATATTCCCTGCACCCTCATTAGTTATGGGCACTGGTATTCTGATTCCATTTTTCAAACATTTTCTTCTTATTTGACTCCATTTTCTTTTCGTTATTTATTGCTTTTCTGACAACCGGGTCCTCCGCATTTCGGTGCTCGAATCATAGTTGTTTCATCGAAATGAGCTGCTCGGTCATGTGCTTCGCGCGCCCTCCATCTTACTGCTTTGGATAGTGGTGTTTGGCAACACCATGTAATTGCGTGAAGCTGTGTGGGGTTGTCGATCATTGCTGCTTGGACAAAACATTACCACGTGGTTCACCGAAATGCGGAGTCACTTTGCTTCTTAGTGAGTAATAGGGAATTTATTGCGTATTTTGTGTAGATCTCTTCACAGCTAGACTCAGGCAGACATTCACCACACATCCAGGAATGCGCTTTCCTAGATGTGTGGTGACTGTCTGTCTGAGTCTAACTGCGACAAATCTTCACAAAATGATTTATTCTTGCTTGGATGGGTTCCTCGGTCGTTTGAGGCATCATCTGATGTGACCAGAGCACGGACTCATTGACCCTTGTACATATCCTTCCTTGACTATTCTACCTAATACTTTAAATTCTGTTTTATTAGCATTGGTTATTATTATTATTATCATCATCATCACTTTCATTATTTCTGTTATTTCTTCGACAAGCTATATTAAGGCGTCTAGAATCACTGCGCCTCGGTGCAGTGACCAAAGTTTGCAAACTGACCCGAACTTACCTCGTCTCAGATCCATGATCGTTCGAAAGCAACGGACAAGATAAAACCGTATGGGTTGCGTTGGATTACCATCCTACCATCGAGTCAACCTCCTTTATGAGGTAGTTAATAGGTAGCTATGAGAACCCCGCTACTAGCGGTTTTACCCGACGTATTGCCGTAGCTCATGGGACTTTTGAGTACCTCTACCAACGGACAAAATGATGCTTCGCGGCCTTATTGTTGTACAAATCTGGCATATGACAGCTGTGTGTTGTTAAGTACGGCAACAACATGGTTATTTTTGCCATCGATGTCTACGCGTACTACTGCTGCTAATTTCGGGCCTGTTACTGTAGCTTGTTGCGCTACGCCAGATCATCTGCGCTGAGCGGATCACGTGTTCATCGACCATTTACCCCGACGTATGTGGGCCGCTTATGCTTCACCTGGTAGAGCCGTGGAATTGACATGTCAGTGCACGACAAGTGCACCCAAGTGCTATGTGATGCTGGCTTTTGTCGCTTTTTTAAACAGCGATTATGGAACCAACTATAGTACTTCTCTCGAAATAAGCTTGGAACCTATTGGGAATATTTTGAATGGAACTCGGTTTGTATTGAAGCAACGTTTCGCTCTTAACGCGAACATAACAAGACCAGCTAAACTGGTGCACAATTGGCGGGTTTGTTATAGCAGGTTCGGATGGGAAACGATGCTATTCAGCAGATGATTATACCGATGAAGCCGAAAAGGTCACTTAACCGCTGTCGGGCATGATACGGCGGCTATATGGTCACTGGTCTTGTTGTATTATCTTGCTTTCACCGGTGATCTCTCGACCCACGATCTTAACGTGCCTTTATCGGCTTTCTAATTTACTATTTTAGTTGGTTTTTGCTATTCTACTCTTTGATTAGTTTTTATCTTTGCGACTCGCAACTGGCTCCACATGGCTTCTCTATCCTGATAAAATTAATAAGCTGAACCGATTTTAGCTAATCGGATGCGACTGCGCCTACTACCATGAATTAGGGTTCGGATGACAATTTATGCCTAATAAAGCCGGTGGAATGTGTTTGAACAATTCTCTAAGAAGAAGTATGAGGGTCTTATTCCAATGATGACCACCTTTGAGTCACTGCTTATTTGTGGTCTCCAGCGAATGCCTGCACAGCCTGCAGTCACATATTTATTGCATAGGGATAGTATGCAACAGTGTTTGCTGTCTTGATTCGATGACTCGGCCTCCTCGGTACGCGACGTGAAGTTTTGTTTGGAAATTATTGAGAATACCTGTAGCTCGGGGTGTGGATGAGAGGTTTGTCTTGTTCTCCGAGCCGGGCGTTTCGGTTGCAGACATTTCGTTGCCAAACTAGACAACATCTTCAGTGCGGCTATTCAGTCCTGATTCGCGGTCTCGCAAACCAATGTCAGATCCGAGTGACTATTGATTGTTGCCTGCTTCGAATGTCACTTTCGAAATGTCACCTGCACGCCCATCACAGGTCCACATTTCAATCAGCGAGATTACACTCCACATCTCGACGCGCTGATGATGCCGTCTCGCATGACGGTGAAACGTTTGCAAACCAATTTCGCAGCTCGGCGAACAAATGAGCAACTGAACCTTCGATCTGTTCACTTGACTTAGTCGAGTGGGCACCTCTTCTCCTTGTCGATCTGGTGCCCAATGCTGGCTTGACCTGCAGAGCTTCATAGACACCCTTCGGCTCCAGGTGTTTGTTGTTTGTAGCACGGCGCAACTTAGGAAGGCGGAGGAAGACCACCTATTTAGCATGTTTCAGCGAAATTCGTACCCTAGAAGCTTTATTCTACGCTGCCTGATGTCGAAGAGCCAGTCATAACCCGCATCCACATGTGCAACAGAAAGAAGGACGATTATCCTACCTTACATCCATGGGATTTCTGAAATGGCAGCGAGTCTTCTAATGCCTCACGGGATAACTGTTGCACACGAAGCAACGGAAACCATACGAAGTAAACTTTTTAAGATGAAGGACAAACTCACTAAGAAAGAAACATCGGGTGTGGTTTACAAAGTTTCCTGCAAGAACTGTGACAAGTACTATGTAGGTCAGACTGGAAGAAAACTTGGCACAAGACTGCACGAACATAGTCTGGCCCTCCGCCGCCACGATGAGAAATCCTTAATGTCAGTACATATGGATGCCGAGAACCATCAGTTCGATCTGGAGAACGTTGAAATAGTTGGAAGAGCAAGACACCGCAGAGCGTGTGAGTTCCTCGAGGCCTGGCATTCTGGCCGGAACTCAATCAACAAACACCTGGAGCTGGAGGGTGTCTATAAAGCTCTGCAGGTCAAGCCAGCATTAGGCACCAGATCGACAAGGAGAAGAGGTACCCACTCGACCAACTCACGTGAACAGATCGAAGGTTGACATTCGAAGCAGGCAACAAGGAATAGTCACTCGGATCTGACATTGGTTTGCGAGACCGCGAATCAGGACTGAATAGCCGCACTGAAGATGTTGTCTAGTTTGGCAGTGAAGTTTTGTGTCATATTCACCTTGCAGGCTTCACCTCCATGTACAACGTTCGGTGGTTTTCGAACGGATTTGCGTATATCTGCTCGACCATCAATAGCGTTTCTTTTTACTTTATTTCTGATTCACTGTTTGACTGGTCTTGCAAGTGGCCAGGTGTTCTCAAGGGCCCTAGTCACGGACAACGGATCCTTCACCTGATTGTCGACTTGCAATCCTCATTGCTTTCAACGCAATATGCCTACTTTGTACTGCACCAGTCACGCTCGATCGTTTACAGTCTATTTAATGTTTCCTCTGCCAAACGCTAACAGCGAGGTGTTACGTGTATTGCATGGTTTAGTGGGATCATTTCCGACACTATCTCCATCTACTCCCATGTTATGCGATCTGTCACCCGTATGCTGTTTGTCGCTCCATATGGGATCGTGCTTTGTGGTATTTATATATCGCTGGACTGTCTATTATTCCCGTGTCGCTCCATTGCGCCTTGCTCCACCCTATCCGTATCCCTTCTCATTCAGCGATGCTAGTGCTTGTTTATTCTGTGAGTTCCACTTCACGAATGCACATACTTATCGATTCTCTCGTTCTCCCCCGAACCACTTTGTTTTAGCGTCTTTTCCCCATCCAGCCCCTCATATTCTATCCCACGAGATCTGCGCTTGGCACTGGTTTCACTTTGCTGGTTCGAGGTCACCACCACTTCTCCCTACTCCACGAACTGCTCATCCGGTTGAATTCGATCCCCCTTTTGCGTAGAATTGTGGTCGTGTGGACCAATCGGAACATCCCTGCCCCAAACGGTACGTAAGTTTCACCACTTCACTCACTTTGCCATTTCACCCCAGCCTACGTTTTGTTCCCCATCCACAACCCAATTTTGTATCACAACTGTCTTTAGCTCCAAGCTACGCCACTTTCATCTCTGGTAGGTAGAGTAAGATTGCAATGAAGCGAGACTGTTCCGTATGTGTTTGCAGTATACGTCTCATCATTGCCCATGTGTCTGGAATTTGGCGGCCACATGGATTACCGCCGTCTTTCGATCCTAATGCATTGTTACTTGTCATTTTCGTCCACTCCTCTCCAACACGTGAGTTAATACCAAATAGCATAAGCAGCGACTCATCACATCTAGACTCAGTCAGGCAGCCATCACACGCTCGAGAAAACACTGTATGACCGTTGCATCCTTTCGGGAATTGTAAGCAGTGCGCATCCCATCTGACTGTTGCTACGGCCCTCTTGACTAAGTAACTATATGTAACTATATACTGATGTGAGTACTGAATAATGAAATTAGAGAGCGAGAGGAAATATATCCATGTTGCTCCGTCGATATAGTTTCGGGCATGCACGCAAAATGATGTCACTTATTACCGCGCACTATCAATGGTGGTCGGCTGTGCGACAAGATGTTAATCAGATGTGATGCGCTCTCGAAATCTGTAGTCCGAAAAGTAGACGTCTAGGAATTTTTTGAATTCCGACTTCACATCGACTGTTGTCTCGGGTAAACTGTTCCAATATTTCACCGCTCGTAACTTACGGTGAGCCATCCGCCTTAGGTCCGGTGCCACAAGTTTGTACCGGTACGCGCAATTGCAGCAGCGTCCTCCGCATTGGGAAGTCAATCAGATGTAATCTCCGTTACGTCATGAGATTCACTCGAAAGCGACGATGTAACAAATCGTGCAATGCTTGCTGCTGTGTAAAATTGCTCAACTCGAAACGAAATGCCATGCACCTTTATCGCTTCTCTCAGCCGGTTACCTCAGGCTCTGTTGCACTAAGGTCACTGGTACTGTCTTACCACACATGTTTCCGGGTCATTATTTGGTCTCGGAGTACCCGCCGAGTGTCTGGATTGCGACGCGCAATCTCGATTGAGGCTGCCGCTTGTTTTGAAACAGACCTATGTCACTTTGTTCGCTGGGGCCGCATGCGAAGTGGAGAGTTTCGGAGTTGCTTTCTCTCAACACTTCACTCCACGACCGACAGGTTTCGTCCTGATTTGGACTCGTCAGGTAGAGAGTGCTTGAGCTGAGCGGAGAAACCCGTCACCTTGATTGATAGCTTGCGAGTCATCTGTGTTTTTTATCTCATCACATCGCTTCACCGGTTTGGACACATCAAGTTCGTTGTATCATATGCGATGATACCTTTCGATAACTGTAGGAAAAGATTGCCGTCCACTGCGTCTCACGATATGACTGTTCCCCCGTGTCTATTTTTAGTCGATTCTTCTGGAAAATTGCACATTTGTTGTCTTACGCAATTTTGCTTCTCATCTCCAAGGTCAGCTAATTTCATGTCGCCATCAAACCTAACAGTGCCCTATGGAAGCTAAATCTATCACGCTGGCTAACGTGTATGGGGCTAATCTGACGAAATTTCGAGGAGACGCAACTGCTGTCTGGCAGCACTTCCAGTTAGTGACAGCTATGAGCAGGAACTTTTATGTGGGATATGGCCACACCACTACCCATAAACAGGCGTTTTAGGTTTGCTTGGTCATCAGCAGTTCGATTAACGATCATGTTGCGGTGTCGAAAGTTTTTATAAAGCGAGGACAGAAAAGGAAAGAGGCGAACTGGTAAGTGAGCTCAGCAGATTGTGTCGAATCGCGTGAATGACCTTTGAGAAGAAGTGACCTGGGCTCTGTTTGTTTCTCGACAACGCCATGCCGTATAGGCTTTATTCTATTTATTAGGCCTGTCTTGCGGCATCCAATCTGAGAGACATTCGCGAACCAGCCTCCCTCTGTTTTTCGGTAACAATAACTTTGTTTTGTTCCTCTGTTTATCACCGGGCGCAGTTGTTTCCCATACCACTGATCTGAATATTTAGAACTCAAGACACCGGAAAATGAAGTGTACCACCAGAGCGAACGCACACGCCGAACATGATATCCGCGCACAAAGGGTGCAGGCCAGAACACTGTATTTTTCGCTAAATTCACAGGCGTTCTTATTGTGTAAGCATGTCGTTTCGAAACCTCCCCCCGGTCACTTGACTTTGTACTACGCTTTTGGTAGCACAATGGGCAAATTCGTAAAACAAGAACACCTTGTAGCTCTTAACCGTCTGGTTAGCAATGATGAGGTCTTACTCACTCGGCCAGATAAGGGCGTGGGTATTGTTATCATGAACAGAGTGGACTACTTGAACAAAATGAAAGAAATACTGCAGATGAAACTAAGTTTCAGAAGGCCATAGATGAGAAAGACAAAACAAAGCAGATTGAAACTCAACTTTGCAACTGTCTTAAACAGATTCGAAAGGATGGTTACATCAACGAAGCCACTTATGAACAAATTCGGCCGGTAGGAACGGTTATTCCAAGGCTGTATGGGCTACCAAAAATTCACAAGCCTAACGTCCCCCTTCGTCCCGTCTTGGATATGAAAAACTCCCCGTGTCACTCGATTGCTCGGTGGCTGGTTTTGATCCTTACACCTATTCGAGAGCGAATTGTTGTACATACTGTAAAGGATAATTTTGAGTTTGTGGATATTGTGTGTGATGTAAATGTTTCCAATCTAACCATGTGCTCCCTCGACGTTACTTAACTCTTTACCAACGTACCATTAGTTGAGACCATAAACTACATCTGTGAGTATGTTGATGCAAACCACATTAATGTTGGCATACCCACGGTGATCCTAAAGGAACTATTGCTCAGATGCACGTTCAATGTTCAGTTTCTATTCAATGGCGAATTATACCTGCAGTGCGATGGGTGCCCCACTGGGTCCGTTCCTAGCCGACGTCTTCATGGGCATGCTGGAACAGGGGAAGCTAAGGCCAACGATCTCAAGTCTCGGTTTATATTGCCGTTACGTGGACGACATTTTTGTCTTGCTTCAGTCGTCTCGAAGTATCGATGAACTAACAAAAACTTTCAACCAAGGCCATCCAGCAATAAAGTTCACCAGCGAAGTGGAGGAAAACGGTCGCTTTCATTTCCTCGATGTCGGCATGAAAGACTGGATGGGGGTGCGCTACAGCGCTGCGTCTATAGGAAAAGTACGTGGAATGGGCAGTACACAAACTTCTACAGCTTCGTGCCACTTAGGTTTAAACGGAACTTGATAAATACCCTAGTGAGCCGAGCTGAACGTATCTGCTCGAATGACACGCTTGCGGAAGAATTAGAGTGCATTCGCTTAGTGCTAAGGGAGAACGGCTATCCGGAAAGCTTCATCAGAGCCAACATGGAACATAAGAAGAAAAAGCCTGTAGTTTTGACAGTAGAACGTAAGCCAATCTTCCTACAGCTGCCATACAAGGGCGAGGTTGCGACGGAACTTCTATCTCGTCGTCTTTCGTTTGCACTCAGACGCACCTATCCAGCAGCGCAGATGCAAATCCAGTTCACTAGCTTTCCGATGGTGAGACTAAACTCAAAGGATAAGAGGCCTGTCCACACCAACTCAATGTGTATCTACTCATTTTCATGCTCCTGTGGAGCGGAATACATTGGTCGTACGACACAGCGTCTATCTGAGAGAATGAAGAAACGCCACCCGGTTGGGCTTAGAACTGAAAGTGGAAATATGGCGAACTCTTCAATAGCCGCGCACCTAGCCGATACAGGGCACGTGACAAAGTTCACCGATTCATTCAAACTAATCTATCAGGCCTCAAAGCACCGCTCGCACTGTGTCCGTAAGCGATTACTAAAAGCCGCTGAAGCAATTGCGATCAGGCTGTATGAACGGGAGCTGTGTTCAGAAGGAGGTGACTAGAGGCTTCGAACTGTCCTGGCCCAAACGGCCGGTGACCTCTAACCCACGAGGTCACACGCGGTCGATCGTCGTGGCTTAACAAACAACGCTGTCGGCATCCAATTAACTCGCTCCACTAGTAACGACTTATACTGTCTGTCTACATTTTGATTTTGATTTAGCATATAATTGTATAAGCCCGAAGATGAATTATCGAAAACATATGTTCGCTTACCCTGACTTCGGATTATACTATGGGATTTTTTAAAATTCGTAAACGTTTGCATTACATCGGCTGGGCCACGCTTCTCTTACCTGCCCCTCGGGTCGATCACTCTCAGTTCATAACCCCTCATCATACTGTTTGTTGGACACCGCGTTCCAGCTAGACTAGGCGTATTCTCAATAAGCAACAATATCCTAGACTGTGGGTTAGCAGACGTGCGATGGACTCTACTTGGATAGCGCGTACATGCTACGCTGGTCAGACGGCTTGAGGAACCCAGCAGTCTCATTTGTCGTGATCATTACTTCGTAGACATTGTCAGATACGAGCGGAGCACTTGCTATGACTCTGTCACACCCACCCACAGTAGTGCCAGCCGAGCTAACATACAACCGAGCACTTCGCCGCTACTATACTTCAAACGAGTATTGCTAATGCTTGCGGTACAAGTGTTTGCAGTTACCTTTGATTTAGTCGAACATTTATTCGCTGGCAGGTCGCTTCTTAGTCAAGTCGATTCGGCGCCATACATCGCTGAGTGTGAGTGCTCCTGAACTAAGCCCCTTTATCGGAATTTCTAATCATAGGACACCAACTGCCGCACAACACCACTTCCTTCGTTATTGTCTCACATACTTGGTTCTTGTTCACTGTCAACCTATTGTCAGTCGATGCTTGTTGTCAACACAGCCTGTATACGTTTAAGTACCGTTATGGAAGCACACTATGCGATTTTGACCATCTTTTTCGAGAATGAACATGCGTAAGGCCGGATTCATCGTGTTCAGATTTCATTTGGTGCTGCTTACAGTCAGCATACAAATTGCGAGTCCTGTCTCCAACTGACCGTTTCGAATGCGTCCACCTTCTTCGTCCGTGGAGCGTATGCACGCTGCACATTCCAAGTGCTTGTACTAACAGAGGGAAGATTATTCAAACATGCCGCAGCCGGACATATCACCGAAGCTCCATCACCTGATCATATTGAGCGCCATTCACAAGACGGTGAGGCTCCCTTTTAAAGATGCTACCAATGCACCGCGTATGCACTCGATGGAGCGGTCACTCATATCCACGCAAGCCTCACGCGCTATGTTTAAACAAATCCCCATGCACAGTTAGAATTTGAGTCAATGTGAGACCGCTGATTTAGTAACCATCAGCTGTTCGATTGCTTTAGTGTGAATGACTTGTACTATTCGACTAACGAATTTTACAATTTCCATGCTTTGGTGCTCCGTTTTATTTCTGTACCCCTTTATCTCAATGATTTCGACGCCATGTTCTTTAACTCCTTGTCAGCTGCGTTGTGGCCCTCGTTAAGCGTTCCATTATCTCTCGTACACGCGAACGACGTCAACGGAAGGTACTTCCCGTTTCCCCTAATTGAAACTGAAGCGGTACTCTCCTTGGAAGACCACAATTGCGCACCGTCGGTGGAGCAGATTCAGCTGGCTTTTGAGGCGAGTATTTTTGGTAATCCTAAGGGACAAACGTACCACATTTTACTTTTTTACGCTTACTTCTCCTCCATGTTTTATTCCAATCCTTCTTGCATAACTTGTCTCTTAGGCTTAAAATTAGTAGCGCATTGGTCTGACTGTTTTTCCCCAATATTATCAGGTCGCCGATGGCTACAAGATTAACTGCGGTTCACTGATGTGGTTGTAACGTTTATCTCCTATAAGTCTTCCAGTTTTCCTCTACAGACTGTAGTTTTCTGCCCCCCTACGTGCCTCCTCCGTTCCCCGTTTTTTGTCCGCTACTGAAAGTAATGGAGTTACTTCGCTTCAGAAGCTACTTCATACCTGACTTTTTGGAACCCCGCACGTTTTCAATCCGTTGTATGGCTTCCACTGTTTTTGACTTCCGTGCCTCCAATACGACAGTATTATCTGCGAGCAGAACGTGCTTTGCGAACCAGAAATTCCCCTAAGTTGAAGCAAGCAACTCGTTTCATGATTTCAAGCAAAAATCCCAGCAGACATAAACTGTGAGATGACGCAGTCATTTATTGCTTTCTCTTCACTCACAAACACGCAACAAACGGTAGATATATGAATAATAATGTCAGTTGGGTTCGATCGATTACCGACCGGCCGATCGGGGCTCTTCACATTGCCATGTTTGGTTTAGTCACAACTGTTTCTGTACGCAGAATGTCAGTCCTTCTCCTTCAATAGCAGTGGCTTCCAGTAGTATGAGAATATAGGCCGCTGATCACGCGTCGGGCCAGAGAGTCAGTCTTCGGGATTTGTTTGATAGTCACTGTTCAATAACTGCTTTGTGATCGCCGAAGCAGCTCGGTTTCTCGTTTCGCACAGTCCCACCGTCACAGATCCTATTTAGTAGCGTAACCACCTGAGAGGTGTTCAGGGATTCGGACACCTACTCTCCAATCACTGCATCGCGAGTACGCCATTCTTCTTACTTCTGATGGCATTCCATGGACAGTAGCGCACTTGCTCCATGTGTTTTTCATGCGTTCCTGGGATTCCCACAAGACCACCCTCCATATTATGCTGTTGCAGCCCGCGCTACATATCCCATCCAACCTCTGAGCACTTGTTCATGAAACCGTCAAAATGCATGCACACCGTGTCTCCATCGCACGCAGCGGTGTCAACCAGCGTCCTCATCTGCCCCAAAGTTGGTACATATACGATTTACAAAGCCATAGAACTCCTTATACTCTGGTGTTCGGCAGAGCATTCCATCGTCTTCGTCTTTTCCGTGAATAATTTATGCGACGGTGCTTCCGAGCCAATCACTGACATGTCTTGCGTAAATGACTCCTTCTCTGAGTCCGCAAAGTCCTCATACGCAGCAAAAACTGCATTCTTCTTTGACACAGATTCGCCAGTGGTAGCTCTGTTGTGGTTACACCAACGAGACTGTTTAGAATTTGTGCACCCGATCGTTTCCTCAGCCTTAATGGGCACATGTTCAAGAGTTTGTGCCATAAGACTGCTTGAAGCGGTGTAGACATCGCCAAGGCGGGTAGCCATCGTCTTCTTCACTTCCGTACTTGGGGAACAAACATTGAATTTCCGCCGACTCACGGCATAGGAACAATACATGGATTCATAGAAATATATATACAGTTTGCTCCGAACCAACTTGTGATCAGTGCCAGGTTCAGCTCCACGCAGTACACATATCATGCTCTCGTACGATGACATAGTCGAGCAGATGAGCGTGACCACTCCGTGGCTGCCCCCAAGTAGCCCTATCACTCACACCCAGTACAAACTGGGTGTTCGTGATCGTCAGGTTGTACGTGGCGTACAGCGAGCGCAGCCTGTCACCGTTCCCGTTGGATGCGCCAACACCATGCGGACCGATTACGTCTGTCTACTCCGCGGCTTGACGCCCGACGCGCTCATTGAAATCACCCAGTAGAAATACCCGTTCGCTACTCAACGCAAGCTGTATCACAGAGGATAACTGAGTGTAGAACTAATCATGCGTGTTATTAGGATAACACATGGTGGGACGATCTATACAAATAAAGTGGCAGATTTACTTCTTTCAAATCGCTGGCGTACAGTCATCACTTGTGGGCTGATGCCAGTCGGCTCTCCCACCAACTGGCCATTTAGGCGGTTGGACAGTGCAGATCCGATCCCAAATTTACGTGGTTCTGAGGTCGCTTTTCGCACCCAGTAGAATGTGTAGTCTCGTACATATTGTGTTGCTCAGCCAGCCGAGTCTCACTGAATGTAGCAGTATTAATACTGTGGCGACAGAGTTCCAAAGCAACCAGTGCAGTGTTCCTCATGTTGCCATGACTCGTATTCCGATCCAATGTTGATCGTTTTCCTCGGAGGTATACGATTGCACTGGTCCGTCTTTATGTTGGTTGAATGGGTTGGGAGTTGGGATTGTGGTTGTCGCCGTTGGGATGGATGCGATGAAATGGGAACGGAAAGGAGCCAGTGTGTAAGTGAGTGTGACGGAGAAATAAGGGAGGTGCCAGCGAGTGCTTGTTCTCGCTTATCCACCTCGCTGTATGCCGCAGTTAAGGTAACCACTTTCACTCATTGCGCGGCACTTGATGCACATTATTAGCTTGCCTACCTGCCGTTGTTGTTTTTGTTTTACTTCTCTTGCGACTACTCTTGCGCGCTCGACGTTGGATGTGATGCCATTACTTTATGATGACTGGTTGCTTTCAGTTTTTGCGTTCGTCTTCTATTTGCCACACTTTTAAACCGCTTTACTCTAATTTACGCTACACAATGTGCACTTCTGTCTCTGAAGGGAGTTTCCCTCTGTCTGAAGGGCCATGTTTACAAGGCCACAGTGTGGACCGTCCTGCTCTGCGGGACTGAGACTTGGCCCCTTCGCTCTGAAGATCTGAGGCGCCTTCAATCCTTTGATCATCCTTGTCTGAGGAGCATTGCTAATGTCGGGTAGCACCAGCATGTCCGTAACGATGATGTGTGTAGGCGATTACTTAATCAGTTGCGGTGGCGTGGGCAAGTACTACAAATGCCCGGTCGCTGCTTACCGAGTAGGGCCTTGTTTAGTCTACCAGGTATAGGGTAGCACAAGGTTCGAGTTGGACAACAGTTGACTTGACAGCGGGAAATGAAGTCACTGACGAACAAACTGGGTACCGTCGGTCCGTCTCGCCTTCCGGGCTGGAGTTCACATAACCTGTCTTGTGCTTGGCTCGAGACTTTACAGGACATGGCTCACAGTCCGCACTAGTGACGCGTCTGCTGCGGTCTCGCAGTCGGACTGCCTGTTTAATGTGTCTGTGGTGCTGTTATCTGTGGGGTAATGGCTGATCATGACGTGGGGCAGCGAAAGCCGCAACGATGCTGTCTCGCCGATGCCACCTTATCTTTGCACGATAGCCAACTGTTTGTGACGGGATGTTGTTAACATAAGGTGTAGGCGCCTTGACTCTGAATGTTTGCTTAGCTCATTTGGGTTTTCAGGTAAATCCCCTTTCTCTCCCTCTTATTATCTTTATTCTAGAGATCATCGTGTTTGTATGGTAGCGAAGCATCAGTTCAAATGGCTTACGTACTGCTGTTATTGATTGTTGATGATCACTGTCTCCGTTTGACTGACTAATATGTTATTCAGTTGCTATAATTCCGTAGCACTGCAGCGTCCAAGTCACTGCGTTTTCAGCTCTATTTGCACCGCATCCATGTCATTCCAATAGTGCACATTTTTGAGTCGTTTACTTTGGCATTCACAGATTGGGGAAGCAAGTTCTTTGTCTGAAAACTTGCCTAGCTCGTCTCAGTGAAGTGTTCAATTGTACCTTCTCATCGGATCTTCTGTTTCCAATTGCTACTCTTCACATCCGATAACCCTTACCTCTTCTTCAATCCAGACAGTTAATGAATCTGAGTTGTGCTGATGTTACCTAGCCCGTTTGTTCAAGGTTTGCGACCAAGATTCCCACCTCTTAGAACAGCCCAGCTCGTTCTTATCCCACCCCCTGTTAGACGTCGTGTTCCGGTCGGTTAGCTTGAAATATCTGGACTCCTAACTAAATCCCCCGTTTTTACTTGGATTTGGTCACGCTCCCCCCTCACATACAACCGCTTGCGACTGCGTGACGGTGATGCATGTATACAATATGCTGCTGTACTGCCGATACCTTGCCTTAGTCGTTTTGCCGCCTTTTCTGTCATTTCCATTTCGCGACAATTTTCATGGTATACAAAGTCATCATCATGCATCATTATACACGTTAGCTGCAGGTGGAAAACACCTCAGCTGTTGTGCCGCAATACCAACGCAAAGAATATATGATGCAGTGACACGCCGGCTGAGTCACCAGTAACATATGAAAATCGCTCCGAAGAGCTAGCAGCCGGCTATTGTGCCGCAAAAAGAGCTATATCATGCCCAATAAATGAGGTCGTGTTTGGAGGAGGAGGAGGTTAAGCGGGAGGGGGAGGGACAAAGAAATTCACAACACAACCGCCATTGAAGTCGGCTCCTAGCCATGTCAACAAGTGTATGCAGCCAAACGTGTTCATCGTCCTTCGGTCCCCATCCAGGGAGCCCAGAAGCTCCAACCGAGGCCAACTTCGAAGTATGGGGCTCTCATTCCTCTTGATCAAGTCATCGCTGGGTCACCTCTCCTATTCTTCCATTTACACCCTCGGCGCGCAAACAACGCACGTCGCAGGAGTCGCTGGGCTGGCATGTGCGGTATCAAGAAGGCAACAGAAAAAGGCAGGATGTATATCCGTACTCAGTCAAGGAGGTAATAGACTCGACATACAGAATGAACACTTTTAACTGTTTGGATTTCACTCAACCAGTGCGAAGAGAGTTGCTATGTTTCAATCAGCCAATGCAGCATTAGTAATGAGATGCTGGTGAATACATTCACACGCACGGCCACAACAAACACTCCCCCTTTTGAAGAGCCGGATCACGCGGGCTGGTATCGATCGACTGATTTCGAAGATCTGGATGACGGGTAAGGCTGACTTCGCGGTAGCAGCGATTCGGTCTGGTGTTCACACACAGTTTGCGACTGGTTAGCTGGTCCGTGGGCCGTGCGCAACCGAGGTGCGTTAGCAATTAGGCCGTTTTCCAATCCATAGGTCCCTGGACCTAGTTTTTGGACGATTCGCAACGGTGCAGATAGAGGTCGGAGGTCTTCAGGCGTAACCCGTTTTTTAATGGCGAACTTATGCTCCAGGCTGCTTAGGGGTTGACGATCTGGCGTAGGAAGTTTAGTAATATGCTATGCGATTTGAAACTTCTGCACCTCATGCAGATTGCAGCATTTAGTTTGGTGCGTAAGGACCTTCCTAACATCAGATCCACCGGCGTTCTTCCGGTAACCTTGTGATCACAAGTTCTGTAAGTAAATACAACGGTTAAGATAGCGTCTTTCCTATCCGACTCTCTTAACTGAATGGCCTGTATGGATTTTTGTGGGATCAATTTAGCTACTCAGCCATGCCATTGGCCGCAGAAGTGTAAGATGCAGTTCTGGAGTGTTTCGTTATGGCACTGGAGGAAAACTGCGAAGTCGTGGCTACAAAATTGTGGTCCATTGTCCGTGACTATTTCTTCCGGTAGTCCGAAACAAGTGTTTAAGCCAGCGTAATACAACCGAATCAGTCACTTGGTCGCACATGTGGACCTCAGGCTATTTACTGTAAAAATATATAGCTACAAATATAGTTCTCTTATACATAGGAGCGGTGGCAAAAGTACCCATAATCTCAATGTCGATCTTAGCCCACGGCTTCATCGGGTAAATAATAGGCTGTACTGAGGCTTCTATTTGCAGCGAACTTTTATACTCTATGCGGCAAACGTCATATCACAGATGTCTTAATGCTGTATGTCATTTGTGGCCACCAAAATTAGTGTTTCGCTCGGTTTTTGGTCCGAACCATACCTGGTGGGTGTCCCTCTTGTGCACAAGCAATTATTTTGTTTACCAACTGATGTGGAGCTATAACCACCGAACCACGCATCAGACAATCATATATCACTGACAGTTCATCTCGAATTAGGTACTATGAAATGAACTCACAGGGGACTTTGTTGTTCTTAGGCTATCCCTGCTGCACATACTCGGATCGTTGACATTTCCCATTCGTTATTCCTCGATAGTCAATACCGTTTGATCGGAGCCAAGACTTGAAACTGCTACTACCTCTTTGATTCTCTCCTTGTCATCCTTCAGCCCCACTGGTAAGCGAGGTAATCCATCAGCAACTTGGTTTTGCAAACCCGGCCGATACACAATTTGAAAATCGTAGTTAAAGCGTCTAGCATGCCAACGGTCGATCCGCATTGGAGGCGATCCTTTACATCCATTGCTGAGGAGGATTGTAAGAGCGGAGTGATCAGTGCGTAGAGTGAAACGACCGGACAGGAGATGTCATTTTTCACAAGCCCACCTATAAGCAAGAGCTTTCTTTCCAGCTGAATAATGACGCTCAGAATCTGATAGTTTCCGGGATGCATACGCAGTAACTTTTTCCTTTCTGTTTTGCAGCTGTGACAGAACAGCACCGAGACCAACATCAGACGCATCAGTCGACACAAAAGTGTGGCATGATTTATCAAAAATGGTAACTAAGGGAGCAGATGCGACCCTTTCACTTTGTCGAAAGCGTTTTGTTGGTCGTTTCTCCAAGTGCACGATGCTCCTTTCTTTGTTAGTTGTAACGGATCTGCTGTGGTCGCAAAATTTTGCAAATAGCGCAGATTGTAGGAACACATTCCCAACAAAGAATTCAGTTTGGTCACATTCTTGGGTGTTGGCACTTCAGCAATGCCCCGGATGTTTTCGTTGCTTGGGCGAATGCTGCCACACCAAATGATGTTTCCTAAAAATTGAATTTCGGGGACACTTTTTGCATTCAGACTTAAATCAATATCACTGGGACGCCGAAGAACTTCTTGTAACCTTTCATCATGCTCTTCTTGTGAGCGGCCCACAACGCAGATATCATCCATGTATGCAACCTGACCCTCAATTCCTGCCAAGACGTGAATCATGAACTTTTGCCTTACAGCGGGCTCAGAACTCAAACCCATTGGCAACACTGTACTGAAATAAGCCATCGGGAGCAAGGAAGGCAGTAAGGTGCTTCAAATAGTTGGATAATGGAATATGGGAGAATGCACTTTTCAAAACTAGTCTGGAAATTACGGTTACACCAGCTAAACGTACAGTGAGACCCTCGGTGGATGGCGACGATCTGCCTATTTAGTCTCTGCAAATCGTTGCATATTCTGACAGTGCCGTCATTTTTCAGGACACTTACCATTAGATGCACCCACTCAGAGCAGTCGTTTACTAGTATCTCTTGCAGGGCCGCTGAGACGGCTTGATGTTTTGCTAGCCGAGTAGGCCGAGGTTGATTAATGGCAACGGGTTTTACATCCGATTTCAGCTGAATGCGGTGCACACCACATGGAATACGTCCGATGTACTGCTGAAAAAGTTTAGGATGACGTCTCTTACTAGTATGTCACATTGACGGCAGAGATAAGCATTCGATCGCAAGGTGGTACTACTTGCAAAGCCACCATGGCCTTTCTTCCGAGCAAGGGTCGTCTGTTGTCTGAAGAAACGTACATTGCAACATATGCAGCTACCGAACGAATCTATAAAGGCGCGATGATGAATCCCAATATGGTTGCAGTATTTCCACTCTAACTCAAACATGAATGCGAAGTGGGCTGTAAAGTATGCTGGGATAGGTAGCGTTCGTAAAATTGGAAAAGTAAAATAGTAACTGAAAAAGGAGAATCTAGTTCCATTTCAAGTGGAACAGCGCCTTTGATGGTAAGGAATGACACAGTACGAATATCAGCGGAGGAAAACTTTGATTCATTAACAGATATTGTCTGACTTGTTGAAGTGTTAGTCATCATTATCATCATACACGTTGGCTAGAGGTGGGAAACACCTCAGCTACTGTGCCGCAATACACAGAAAAAAGGGGAGAAAAAAGAATTCAACTGGGGCAAGCCGGCTGAGCTACCGGTAACGGATGGGCATCGTTCCGGTAAGCTACCAGTCGGCCACTATGCATCAGACAAAATTACTATGCAAAATTATATAAGGTTAAACAATGAGATCGTGGTTGGAGAGGGAGGCTAAGAGGGATGGGGTGGGACAAAGGAACTCACAGCACGAACGCCACTGAGGTCGGCTCCTAGCCATATCGGCAATCGTGTCCAACCAAACGTGTTCATCAGCATTAGCATTAGTGGTGATGGGATAACTGTTCTCCTGAGATGGATCAGCAACATGTCTTACAGGTGTGGCACCGTTGTTGACAAGCGCAATGGCTTGCACCCGACAACATCGGACGTAGTGCCCAACTTTGCCGCAGATTTTACACTTAAGTGTATGTGCGGGGCAATTGGCAAAATTGGCTTTGTGAGAAGCCATTCCACAGTGATAGCAAGATGGCTTATCGGATGCTACTTATCGGTAGGATTGCACCTTTGCCACCTCAGCGGTGTTGGTCGAACAGAGCTGTTTCGATTGCAATGAAATTCCAGTTTTCATTCGGCTACCTCACAAGCTCGATCCCACGTTAATGTGCACGCCACTTCCTGCAACAGCGCCTCACGTATACGATTGTCAGCGATTCTAGAAATTAGTTGCTGAGTCAGCATACAGCCTTCGATCTTTTTCTGGGGAATGGACGAATAATCACAAGATCGTACTGCGCGACTTACCCGGGAAATGAAATCGTTCAAAGGTTCACTGTTCCCTGATGCATGCGGGAGAAAACGTATCTCGCGGTAAAAACATTCATTTCATAACGCCATGTGCGATCGAGAGCATTGAAAGCTTCTTTAACGGATTTACATTCTTGGAGACCCAAATCATCAAACTTTCGCTGCCCCTCATTTCCGAGTGAATGTCGAAGTAGCTTCAATATTTTTTCCTTACTAAGAGCAGCATGGAAATCGCTTATTAAATCCGAGTAGTTTCGGAAGGACGTTTCCCAACGATGCCAGACATTTGTTGTTACTCTGACACCGCAATCAGTCCAGAATGAAGACGGGGGTTGTATGGAAAGGTCCTTCTTTGAACTCGCGAGGCCAAATGTTGTATCAAGGAGGCCGCAGAAAAAGGCAGCATATATATTCGTCCTGACAAGGGAGTAACAGACGACATACACAACAATCAATTTTAACTGTCCGGAATTCACACAACGAATGAGAAGAGAGTTGATGTGTTTCAACCAGCCAATGAAACAATTGCCTGTGTAGTATGTGGCCCAACCATCGGGGCCTGATGCCTGAACTAACGGTGTTGAGCGGTTCACTTCCTCTTCCTGAGCCATAAACTGTGTCGAACACGTCCCTTTGATCATCCGGTGTTCCCACTAGATTGGAGCCAAAACTGCGAAGGCACCAGTGGTCGAACGTAACTAGTTTCTTTATGTTTGACAACCGTACATTAGGGTCGAACGCACGGCTGCATTGCCCACTCTACCCTTCAGAGCGGGAGTGGTGTCGCGCCGGCGCCATTTTTAGCGAAGATTCGCAAAGGTTTTGCTTTGCTTTTGCTATGCGGTTTGTGACATTGTCTTCAATTCCAAGTGCACTGATACAACTACTAGATAGTTGAACTTTTGAACGACTTGTAACTAATCGCCACCGAGGGTCCGTGCAAGAGGCGGTCCCTGCCAATCTTTTAAGAAACCTTTGAGGGTGCAAAGCATAGCCCGAAACGGGTAACACTCAGTGCTATTCTGTCCAGTGTCGCTTGGCACGTTTGTGAACTGTCTTGTTAAGCAAAGTGCCATTTGTTGGTTGTTATGTTCCATTCTATCTGTTCCATTAAGGCACATTTTATTTTTCCTGTATTTTAGCTTTGGTGTCAGAACCCCGACCGCTTAGTTGGTATTCCGCCCGTGCTTAATTTGTTCGCAAGTCGCAGTCATTCCGCTCTCCAAAAGCCGCGGACTCTGTTGTCGGCAACTTTCGGCGCCTCGTTTTTTCATAAGGTAGGTTTTTTCTTTCCATCACAATCACTTTTTCCTACTTTTATCGACTTTTTACTCCACATCAGTCTTTTCCATATCTTTCCGTCGTCCGGTCGTGCCCAGTAGAGAGCAGATCTCCAGACTGGCTTGACCGCACTGCGTAACACGCAATGCATTGAAATCGGCAAAGCGAATCCTAGACCTAACTCGGATGCGGTAAGCTTGCGAAATCAATTTCACTATCTGCTTTTCGATCTTTTTGAAAACTCTTCTGAGATCTAACTTGTTCATAAATACTTCAAGCGGCCGTTTGCTTTCTTCAATCTCTGTGTGCAGCTTGGATCGGATGAACCGTTGGACTATGTCTCATAGTAAAGAGATTGTGTCACTAAGCCGAAATTTTTCTTGTTTTATTAATTACGAAGGCTAGACCAATCTCTTGAGGTGATGGATTGGAGGTTCGGAGCTAATCAGTACACCCCCACGCACGGCAAATTGTCACCGATGCCTTGGCGAGTAATAAAGTGCTTGACTCGACAAAGTTGAATTGTGGAACTGGTTGGATGATTTGACTGCTCATTCTATATGCATTTCACAACGGCCTTACACATGAGCTAACGCGGTGTTGGTTCACTTGACTTTAGGCCAAAGCGGCACAAGTGGGACGTTGACGTACGGATGAAAAGTGGTCTCCATGTGACGGTTCCCCGGATGCCTCTATTACTTCAATTGAGCGTTTTGCTGTCTGCACTTATTCCGTCTTTCTACCATGTTTAACTTGCCGATCACTCTTAAAATGCGTTTGGAATCCAACTCGACCACACTGAACAATTAGCTATTTTATACCATACCGGTGTACAAATTGTTTAGACCACTTAGTGGACTGTATCTCGCGCTATCGAGAAATGTACCACTCATCAAGAAGGGTTCGTATCGGAGTCCCATAGCGGGACAAATGAGTTGCTTGGATCATCAGTGGGTAACCGTTTGTGATTTCGAGACCACGGAATCTGTTGTCGCAGTGGAGAGTGCCATATGAAGAGTTGCCAGTTAGCTAGCCTCAGCACACACGATTGCGCGACAGTCGCACATGAGTGCAGTGATGAAGGGACGTGAACTGCTGAAAGAAGGCATATCACCTTGTGAATTTGCTGGAACATAAGAGGGCCCTCGAGCGGATCTATTTGTATCCACTCGTTGAAGAGTAAGGATGTGTGCTAAGCGACTTACGAGTGACATGAAATTCGGTTAACATCATTGTGATCTCCAATTACGGTTAGTGCAGGCCGCGTGATATATGGACCCGTCGGTGTACGACGCACTATCCGAGCAGGAAGAATGCAAGTGAATCGAAGTCCACGCGGTGGAAACGAGTGCGTCTGTGAATGTGTTCCTGCTGATTCAGTACAGTTCGGTTTAATAACTATGGTCCGGGCACCGAGGTCCTGTGGATCCAGTTGCCACAACTTATCACCAGAATTGGGATGAATGCAGGTAGAGTTTAAAAAATGAAAGCAAGTAGAAGGCGCGTCAGATTAATCAAAATGGTAGGAAACTTCACCACTAGCTGCAAGAAACCGAATGCAGGAATGTCACTAATTGCACCATGTTTGCATGGGTCTCCAACGATTGATGTGGACCACCCCGAGACCCCCGTCCACGAAGACCGCACGCACAGACGTGACCACATCTCTCAATCAATTTCTTCAACCCTATGTGCCAAGTCATCGACTGGCCACGTCGTGGTTTCGTCCAACTTTGTGCAGCCACAGCGTGTGATGCACGCCGAGGAATCCTGTCAGCTGGCATATGAAGGATATGGCCTAGCCAACGTAAATGATTAAGATTCATTAAACGGAATGCTTCTTGCCAAAAACCAACTAACGGACCTCAGCATTGCTCACTCAGTGTTCGCACCAGACTGATTAATACTTCACAAGCACCACTGGTCAATCAGAGTCGAGCGTTTAATGTCTTCACTGCAAACTGGTCAAGCCTCTGGTCCTTCATCCTACCTTTCACTGACAGGCTGATACCCCGCTGTGTCCATAGATGGTTGAGTCTCTGGAAGCCACATTGGCCTTGTTGATACACGAAGTAACCTTCTCAGTGATGTGACCACCAGAGGTGACGGTAGCTGTAAGTGAACCGATCCATCACTTCCAGTGACTGTTCGGTGATAGCTAAGACCGGTGGTATTCCGATCCAGTCCTGCTACAGTATTTTGCACTTTTAAGGTGCAAAGCACACGTTGCGCACCAGTCTATGTAGTAGTGCTTGCATAGTCAATGCGTCAAACCTTATGAAAGATATGCAATCTGCATGTTGCAGGTTTGTCAGTCGACCATCCGGTAGAGGTTCCACTGTTGTAGAGTCTGAAGGAACCGGGTCATTCATGTTCACTTCGATTACAAAGTTGAGGAGGAAATTAGCTATAGGACAATCTTGGCTAACCTAATTTGTCGTGGGAACCCAGGAGACAGTTTCCCCTAGACCCTTACACGGCTTTGGCAATCACGGTGGAGTGACTTCATAATAGAAAGGAATTTAACAGGCACGCCCTTCGTGGTTAGGCACTGTCACAAATTGGCGCGGTCCAGGGAGTCGAAGGCAGCTTTCAAGTTAATGAAACCATCATTGTGTATCGTCTTTATGTGTTCTTGCCCTAACACTTGGTGGAGCGTAAATATGTGGTCGATACAATCACAACCAAGGCGCAATGCAGCCTGGCTTTCAGTGATTTGGTTCTAACGAGGACCAGTAGTTTGTGGAAGAATGATACCCGAGAGAAGTTTGGAGGCAAAGGAGATAAGGCTAATGACTCGCTGATTTTCGCGCAATGTATCCTGACTCATCTTGAAAGTGCACGTGAGAGTTGCCAGTCAACAGTCTGCAGGTACCTCTTCATTGTCCCAAATCGTTTTAAAAATAGCGGCAATTCTAATCAACACAGTCACCACCAACTTGCAGCAAAGATGGGGGTAGGTCCTCAGGTCCAGGAGCCTTGTTTCGTTTCAACACGGAAAGCTCATATTGAATCTCTTCTAAAGTAGGATATGTGACACCAACTTCCCACGTGGGCTCAGGTGATTCGGCAAATAACAGTGTCGCAATAGACCTGCCCAACTGCTCTTCAAAATGTTACGCCCAACGAGTTGGTAAACAATGTTAACTGTTCGAGTTGCCCCACCTCTAGTCTTTGACTCAACAGTCTGACCTATAAAGCAGTGGGAGATTTGGAGCTTCACTTGAGGGACTCCACACGAAGCCTTTGGCTTAATAGCTTGACGCACTCGGCAATGGGGTGCGAGTCCAGCTCTGGAGTGTGATTGTAGGGACCCAATGGAATCTGCTTGAGGCCTGTAACAGAGCCTTCGAAGATCTAGAACAATGCACGTGTTTTTCATTCCATTACGTAACGTAACTGCGACCACGGTCAGCTGCAGGTTGGGGTTGGCGCGTTTGCACCAGTTTGACTAGGGGCTGCCATGTTTGTGGCGCGCGATAGCAAACCATTGAGCATCCGAAGGTGCCCTCCCACCGTCAGAAACAATGCCTGGCGCTCGGGCTCTATGCCAATCGGACTGTGAGCTTATAACCCGTAGACTTGTTGTCTCCCATGGTTAGGTTTTACGGGAAGTTGGCCATAGACCTCTCCCTAACTTCTGAATAGGACTGAATTGTGTGACTGTATTGATCAATGTTATGTTGCGGATTCAAAAAAGCCGAGGCTTGATATGCCCAGCCGGATGATCGGTTAGGGGTGAGCAAAAGAAAGGCAAAAATGGCAATAGGAGATAGTGAGCAACTACCACGTGCGAACCTGCCGATTACAGCGTCCCCGTCCGTTTTATGTACTATCCAAAGTTATTGTCTGTGGTTTCCGGGCAAAAGTGGAGGTGTGTTGGTTTGTTTTTCTTTTTCTGCTGTTTGTATGACTTGTTTGAATTACGTGATATGGTGTAGTGTGGCCAGTGCACTGTGGACACGTGCTTTGAACATGGCTTGCGTGGGGACTGAAGTAACAGCTTCTGAGAGGGAATTCGACGTGTGGCAAACACGCAGCGAGAAGAAGTTTCTTCGACACTCAAACCGACTGTATTGTTCTGTCAATTTGAGATGACCTCTTAGTTGGCTGTTCTGATTTAGCTTCAATAGGTGATGGCAGGGGTGATGAGTGTTGTTTACAATTTAGTAAACCATGATTAGGTCACCACGCAAACGGCGATTACGTTCACTGAAAATACCGAGCACTCTGAGGCGCTCTTCGTATGACAAGTGGTGCAACCCTTGACATTTTTGATTGCCCGACGTTGTGGAAGCTCCAAGATCGTGAGATCCCGCTTAAGCCATGGGTGCCATGCTTGAATTGCATATTCAACATGTGGGCGTATATAAGCGGAAAGTATTTGGCTGAAAATCGACGGTTCGAATTGCCCGAAAGCTCTCTGTAAAAGCCCCACGATTTGGATCCCCTTCTTCGATGCCTTTTTGGACTGCTCTGAGCAGCCGAAATCTTCCTGGACCAACACACCGAGATCCTTTTCGTGAGAACAGTGTTGCAGATCCTGGTCCCTCAGCTTGTATGTGTGAACCATTCGGTGTCTTAAATGGAGCACTCGACGTTTAGCCACATTGAAGAGAAGGCGATTTTGGACCGACCATCCATAGATCTTGTCATGATCAATTTGAAGCTGGATACGATCTTCTGGAGCTCTGATCACGCGCCAGACTTTAATATCATCGGCGTAGAGTAACCAGTTTGACGCAAGTTGACTCACTAGATCGTTTATAACGACCAAGAATGGGCGCGGCCCCAATACCGAAACTCCGCATTCGACATGCATTGCATCTGACATGGGTTCACGTACTCTCACCTCCAGACGCCTGTGCGAGAGAAAATGCCAGATCCACCCGAGGAGAGGGTCTCCAATGTCACATCCTTGAAGTTTGGCGAGAAGGATACGATGGTCCAACCGGTCGAATGCCTTAGAGAAATCAAGGTATGCCACATCAACTCC